AAACCAAATGAGTCATTTAATTTTGAGTGCTGAGGAGATTTCAAAACAGCAACAGAAATATTGCGTAATGGTTATGATGCTTCAGTAGATGATTTAGACGTATTAACCTCGACATTTTCATTCACTAACAGCAAATCTATTAATTGCTTTTTTACAAAAGACAAAGGAACGACGATATTCAAGTTTTTCAATTTTGTTATGAGTTTAGATTTTAATTCTTTTTCCAGTTGTGATCGCCGATTGTTCATTATTATTGTAAAAGTTCAATTACAAAATCTAGAGCAGGAGGTCTCGGCAGAAAAATCCTCGACCACCTCTTTAAAAATTTTGTATATAAGCCGATGGTGTGGGTGTTTGTAATTCTTTAAACTTTCTATTGGGTTTCTTTCCTATATTTTCTAAAGGATCCATGTTTTTGAGAAAAAAAGTAAAAAATGACATTTTTAAATTTCTTTATAGAACGTTTAGGGCTTTGTTAGAATATATGATTTAATTGTATTTATTAAAAATCAAAAAAAGAAGTACAGATTTTTTCAATTTGTGTTAGGATGAAGAAATTTCTGGACTCTTCTACCAGTTAATTGTGGGTTTCTGTCGGAGTATCTTTATCTCACACGATTCAGGAATTTCCTAGAACTCAATAGTCAAAAACCACTCTACACTCTAGAACCTTCTTTAGATATAATTTAAGCTAGAGATTTCACATTGGTTTTATTTTAAGCTAGATACTTAATTACGCGGACTGACAGAACCAGATTTTCGAATTAGGCCTTTTTGGCTTTCTAGAGATCTAAGATCCTTCAAAAATTTCTTTTTTTCTAAAGAACTAAGGCTTAATGCAGAAAAATTAGCTGTGATTGCATGCAGACTTTGTTACTCTTGTGATTAAAATGAAACTTACTTTTCTGTGATGAACTGTTATTAAAAAAAGTGTTCTATCGTGGACCAGTTTAGACCATAACAGTGTTTTGAGAGAAAACACTGCACATTGATTGGTCTGTTTTAGGACATATAATTGTCGGACTAATCTCATTGTCGGTATATTTTTACCTCTACAAAATTAACAAATAAACAGAAAAATAGAAAACTTATATAGTTTGCACTAACATTCCCAACTAATTCACAAACATTTGGTACATGTATTTTCTTTGTACCTAAACGCACTATAGTATAAAATTTCTGTAAAAGAACTACAAAATCACTAGTAAAGCAAAACCCATTAATGAGGTCATCGCAGAGGTGCCCACAGGGCACTTTTCTGCGCCATGTTCTGTCCCTCCTTGTCTTGCTCTGTCTTAGTGTGCCCTGCAGGGTAAGTACGCTAGTTTTACTGTTTTTCTTCACAAGCGCAAAGAGCGCACTTTTTCTTAGTTCCAAGTCAGATGCCTTTATTATTTTTCTATAAGAAATTTTTATTTATATGTTAGTAGAAGCCGTTTTAATTGCTCAAATGTGTAAGACGAAGCAGTAGAAGTAGAAAAATGACTTGAGAGACAAGATGAAGAAGAAACCAAAAGATTTTTGTTATCAACAGAAGAGAGAGAGACAATATTAAGAAGAATCAATAGAAGTATAATACATAGTTTTATGTTTTGACTTTGTCAGAAAGAAGACTGCCGTGGTATCCAACATACCACGCTTTGTGAAATGTTGTTATTATCAACAACAAAATCTCTGAATTGTCTATTTGTTCTCTCTCCCATCTCTTTTTTTCCATCATTTTGATTGTAGTTCTTATTCATAACGAAAGAACTCTGCATGTTAGCCGACAACGCCATCTGTATGCTTTCGTTTAATATCTATGAGCGGCTTGTCCGGCAAACTCTGTTATTGGAAGGGAATTTCGTAACGTTTTTGGGCCATTTTCTTTCAACCACAGCTTCTAAACCAAAAGTCGCATCGAGTCCAGGGACGTCTCAAATGAAAGACAACTTCGTTCTAAAGATTTTGACATCTGTCCAAGCTCGTTTGAATGATTCCTCGAAAAGTTGTGTTAAAATTACTGACATCGGGGTTTTCGTATACCGATCGTAAAAAGTCAGTGATAGGGGTGTTATTATTTTCAACACAACTTTTCGAGAAATTATTTTCACAGCAGGACATGCGTGGATTGCCCCGTCCTGTGGACACCTCTGGGTCATCGAGGCATTTAAACAAAGTACCAGGGACCTGACGAGCTGTCTGCGTTTCTTTTAAGAGACTCAGTACTAGCAACATGGCCTAAGCGAAATAATACTAGCATTTCGGAATACGTGAAACAATTTGAATAGAAGAATTACTCCTATTGGCTGGAAAAACGACATGTTATTCGAAACTATCTAAACTACCAGTTAGAAAATATGGTGCTTCTAATGTCAGTGATTGGAGTTCTGAACATGAACTTACAGATTGTCACACTTTTGAAGAGCTTATTGCAGACTGTTATTGGGAGGCAATACGAGCTACCGGTAGTGTGAGTCTGGTTAGACAGAAGTCTCTATGTAAAGTACACAGTAGCTTCTATTTGTCACTTTCTCTCTAACCGTCATAGAGTTACAGTCCAAAGGCAAAGTAAATCGAAAATGACTGTGCTTATTTTTTTATTTTTTAAGATAAGCTCAAGTTACAAAGAAACCAAATCGTTAGTTCAACAACGAATACCACTACCACCATACTCAGTGAGGACATCTGAAACAAACGTTTACTTCTATCATAACGTTCATATTTCTGTTTTGCTTTTTTCAGACTCTCAATCAGAACTATTCAAAATAACCACAAGCCGTGCTAGACCTATTGCCTCGTCATCACAGTTTCGTATTCCAGTAACAGTTTCTTTGAGGAACTATTCGAACTCTTCAATTAGATCACAAATAAACTTGACGCGCAACACTTCTAACAGTGAAAAGGAATCAGTAACAGAAAGTAAGGGATCTTCCTCTTCCCTCATTGTTATGCCAAACTTCTTGATTCACCTTGGATTCTTTTAGACTGTGGTAGTTGTTATCAGGTACGAACACAACCAAAATTATGTTGCAATACATGCCAACAAGTTATTGATGCTTATAAAAGTAAAAAATGGATTTACAATGCAAATAACTTTAAACAATGTCAAGGTAAAACACACGTGTGATAAAAACGTAGAATGAAACATCACTACTATCCGTTTCAAACAAGAAGTCGAGTGATTATTTTTGGAATAACTTCTGTTAGGAACAAGATAGAGACCTGCGGTTTATTCTGAAACTAGACACTGGGGCACGTAAATCTGTGAAAAAATCAGTGCTTCTGATCTGTTTTACCATAGTGTACCATTCGAGACGAAATCTTGAAGCTTACCATTTCGAAACCACACTATGATATCCAATCTCAAGTAATACCAATTGACAGCTAGAACATATCCAAAAAGGTTCCAATTTCAGGGAGTTCTTAGAATAGATGATAGGGCGTAGTGGAGTAGAAAAATTCTAATCTAAACTTTGATTCCGTGGGAGGTTCTCCAGAGATCTTCTAAAAAAATTGTGTACATAAATTGAAAATCCTATGTAGCTGTTTCGAATTGGTCCATATTCTATGACCTATTCTAAGAATTCTCTTAGAGAAATGAGTGAAATATGCATAGTTTTTAATTTTTGCCGATAACAGGCGGAAAACTAGATTTTCGCCAAATTGGCTGTAATTAAGTGAAGAATGAAACAAACATCGCTATAATCATCACCGTAGTCGATTACCTATGATCCACATGTTTCTGAAATTCTGAGACGCATCTGGAAAAAAATAGGTATGTCCTCGGAAAACGCCTGTATCTATGGAACCAAAGGAGATGGAGACCTGAGTCTCGCGTAGTTTTAAAAAGAAATATTCTAGCTGTCAATTGGTATTACTTGAGATTGGATATCATAGTGTGGTTTCGAAATGGTAAGCTTTAAGATTTCGTCTCGAATGGTACACTATGGTAAAACAGATTAGAAGCACTGATTTTTTCACAGATTTACGTGCCCCAGTGTCTAGTTTCAGAATAGAACGCAGGTCTCTATCTTGTTCCTAACAGAAGTTATTCCAAAAATAATCACTCGACTTCTTTTTTGAAACAGATAGTGAAAATCAAGGCTTAAGATTCTGTAAAATATCTCTTTGATGGTCCGTATGGGCAGAATTTCATATTAGACATAAGACTGCATATGAACTGTTTTCGTATTTGTTATTCAAAAAGTAGATTACTAGACCACGTAGGAACGACTAGCTTTGAACTCTAATGCACCCGATGTTTCCCAACAAAGTGAGTTATGAATTTTAGATCTTTACTGTCAAACGTTTTATAAACAGGTTTGTATGCATCATTTAATACTAAATGCATCGAGCTATTCAAATTAATATTAAGATTCATTCTAGTTATTTATGTTAAACAAAAGTATTAAAACTAAAGTGATGATATTTTTTGAAAAGGTTTCTATCTTGCGGCTTTCAAATAATATTTATATCGTTTTTTTTCCAGTTGAGTCCTGTTATGGTTTTTATTTTTCCAAGAACTCTTTGGTGAATAGCGTTGATGATGACAAAGCAAATGCGACACTATCGAATCAAAAATCAATTTTAACCGTTGATCAATGTTGTTCCGAATGTAAAATGAATAAAAAAATGTGAAGGATTTGTATATAATATGAGGCAAAAGATTTGTTCAACAAAACGATTTTTATTAGATGGTAACCTGAGGCACAATTATACAATTATTGTAGCTCAAAAGTATGGTAAGATAACAGAGAAGAGAAAAAGATTCAGAAACAGCAAAGTCGATTCAATAATTCCTTTGCATCTTGTCATAATCAATTTTATCCATAGATAGACAGCCCGAAGTTTACTCGGAAGTTACTCTTGAAAATGAGATCTAAGCAAAAATTTCATCTTGCTGAGTTTGACAGCTACAGACCATTTTTCTGAAGACCTGAGACTTCTATATCCTTCTGTGTATCTTCAAAAAACCATGAAAACATATGTTATCGGCTACACTGAATCTTGTGACTGTCATGTGCCAAGCGCCCGCCGTTTATATATCTATATCACACGGTTGGTCGTTCATCTTCTTCCTTCATTCCACTACTGTGCAATATGATATATTCGTCTCTCGTCTGGACGTAATGACCTATACTTCATTTTGTTCTAGTTAGTTCTTCTATTGTACTTCTTTGCTAAACTACTTTACCATTGTTCTCTTATATTCTTCTTTGGTTGCTTCTCTACTTTGGGCTATCAATGGAAAAAGATCGATAGGCACCTGTATAAAACTTTTGAACTTTAAGCTTGTTTTCCACAAATTCGCGGAAAGCTTGCGTCAAAAATTTGTTTCAAAAACCGTTTTGGCTTATAAAAACATAGGTCAAAGTTTTCCATGTCGGCTACTGGAAAACATTCGTCTTTATCTTTTATGGTTTTTGAGTTATTCGAAAAACAATCACACGCCTTATATTGTGGAAAAGATAATAGCTCCCTTTTGAGACGAATTCATTGCCTAGAAGTGCTTGATTTAGAAGTATAAAAGACACTTCAGCGCATCTACTGCACTCTTTTCTTGACGCTGATTTTGTTTCCTTCGACGAAGAGTATAAAAAGGTTGACAGTATTAGATAAATGTTACCATGCAATTCCTCAAAGGTAAGTATTGACGCGTATGTGCAATTTGTAGGAGGTAGAAAGTCAAACGAAAATACAATGCATCTTCATAACTACCGATAGGAAATTAACTTCATGCCAAGAATATTCTCTATCCTCAGATTTTTTGACATTGGCTATGAAGACTGCTAAATATCATTTGTGCTTTTTCCAAAGCTTCATTTTATTGCAACCATATTTTGTGGACCTTGTTTCTACTTTATGAGCTTTCTTTTCATTTTACATTTTGTGTAATTTTTCTTTTCTTTTAGCCACGAATATATTGACACAACCGACGGATATTCTTTATGGAGTTTGCAATACACAAATCGGTCAAGATAGTCAAATAGTAACAACAATTGGCACAAACAAGTGTCAATATCTTTTTAATAAAGGCGTTAAAAATATTATTGATAACGATTTAACAACGAAATACGTTAATTTTGGCCAAGGAAACACAAGTGACATAGTAGGTGTTGGTACCGGGTTTATTGTTGTACTTAGCCGTGGTCCGGCTATTTTACAAGGTATTTTTTTCTTTGTCAAATTATTAGCGTTGTCTGTGAGATGGCAGTGCAGCAAAAAGATTGAAACTGTAACAGATCATACAAAAGCGTCTGTACAAAATGCTCAATCATTTCTCGAATACTTAAGGGTGGTTTAGCAGTTGCAAAGCATTCCATTTTGAAAGTAGTACTAAACTTTAATTTCTCCCCCTCCTCCCCTCTTATTTTTAATGCAGATTTCCTTTTCACCCGACTTTGATCTAGTCATTAGAACAAATTACCAAACTATTAATTTCTCTGACCTGGTTTTCTCGTTTTCTTTTACCAAGGTACGCAATTTGCAACTGGTAATAATTCACAGTCAAAAGACCCATTAACAGTTTCGGTTGAAGGTAGCACAGTAACAGATTTAAAACGATTAAAACATCGGAAAAATTGGATATTAATCTATACTGGACCAAACGGCTGTCATCATCGAGGTGAAAACCTAGCTCGTCATAGTTATTGCCCAGTACAATTTATTCATAGCAATCGTTCATATACGAGTTACAGAGTAATAATTCAATCACAACGTTCAGCAGCAAACAATGTACAATATTCAGAAGCACATTTATTAGGTTATTTTGTGTAATAGTTCGTTCTGAGTCTTTCTTGTATAGATACTGATCTTGAAACTGTGCATTCTTCAATCGATTATAGACTTTCACAAGGTTGGATGTGCTTTCTACATACAAAATACTCGGTAATTGGAAAAGTTTTGAGATGTTTGATGTTTTTGCATTTAATTTCTAATCAGTGAATAAATTAAGAGTAATATTTTTCAGAATTGAATGTAGTGATGTGCTTTAGAGTTATTCGAAATGAATTATATTTAGCAGTATCTATCTTAGATGCACAAATATGTGTTATAGCAATAGTTCGAACTCAGGTACATTTTCCTTTTACCCAACCAATATCCAATAGTTTCGATATGATGCGTTAATACAATATATAACATCCCTCATCATACAATGTACGATGTTAACGATCCTTTTCAAATTTTATTTCGTGTAAGAGCTGACTCCACCAGGCTCTCACTCCAATTTCTTCTTACTGAAAGATTGTTGCATCAAATCACCTTTGCTTGGTCTCGCGTATTTATTCTTAAGTGGATTAAAATATAAGGTGCTGGACATTCGAACTTCAAGTCAACTTTTTTTCTCCTTTCTTTCATATCATTTGAAAGTGCGTGACATGCTCATCACGAGAAACTACTTTTTAGCGTTAGGAAATGCTTTCTTCAGATCGAAAAATACGAAATGCTTCAACGGTGTCGTTTTTCTTGAAAAACACATCTTTTTCAAAATGCGGAAAATTTCCTGTTTCGTTCTTTCTTTCAGCTTCTCAAAATACTTTTTTCACATTCAGCATCAAAAATTAAGTATAGACAGGTTTCGAAATCGACTCTAACCCCGAAATTCTGTTGACGGTGACGCTTCCAACTGCGCCGAGTGCAATACATATAGGCCGATTTTGTGAATCTATAGAGTAGATACAATTTCGGTTAAGAAAGAGTCATTTCAGATAGAATCGAAAGAGATACTTAATGAAGAAGAGCAGAATATGTGCAGCGGTCAGGTATATCGTGCACTTTCTCAGTATATGAAAGTTGTCATTCTTTGTTCGAAAGAGCAATGGATAATAACAACCCCCTCATACGATGTACACTGAGTTGTGTTGCTTGTCGCGCCGTAACTCTGTCTTTCTCAAAGGAAACCACCTGACGAGACCCTTAATAAGGTCGAAACCAGCCGTGGATATCTTCTTTTTGATTCTATCAGAAATGAGTTCTATCAGAGTCCCTAGTAACGGAGAACGCGGTTGTAAAGCATCAAAATTGTAGTTTATCAAGTCTAATTTTAAGGATACCACCCTACTTTTTCGAAAAAAAACATTTTTTTCTGTTGCTGATAAATGTGCTTTCGACTGTCCTTTATCACGTGGACATAAAACTTTGTCGCTAGGGGCTTTTTTCTCCTTCCTACAGAGCTCGGAGGTATAAACCCCACTGGGAAAATTTTGGACGTTTTCAAAACTCGTGGAATATAGCGAAATTTCGTACCGAATTCAAAGCCTATAGGTAATCGATCATTGCGTACCCGATGGGCATGTGCAGAAACATGTTTAGTATATGTGATAGCGGATGCCGACATATTTTATACTACAAAATGCAGTTCGATGTGGTAAAAGTGTATTTTGTAGTATAAAATATGACAGCATACGTTAGCACATATGCCACACATGTTTCTGCACATGCCCACTGGATTGGGGAATGATCGATTACATACAAGCTTTTCACTTTAAGTAACAAATATGGAAGGAACTCCGCTATCCTACATTTCGTAGGTTTCTATGTTTTTATGTTTCTCACATTTTCCCATTATCGTGTATTTCACGAATTTCTAGGGCTTTTAAGGCCATCTAGCTAATCAAGACTATTTGTCATTACTCT